TTTGTTACTGACTGAGTAATAATTATTATCAAATGAGATGCACTGATTCTTGTAGGAAATTTAACGCTCTACAAAAAAGGTTTGGTATGTTTAATTGATTACTCCAACCGTTTAAAAGATATTCGTATACGAATCCCAATGCTTTCTGATTTCAATAATTTTTTAATAACTTTTTCAAATTCAAAATCATTGTTGAGAGACCCTAATGTACTCGTTATTTGCGAGTAGTGCAAACCATCAAACAAAAATTCCAAAAATTGGTTTTTTACATTTTATTCTTTTGCTACAATAAAATTTTTCTATTTAATATTTTATCCAAATGTGTAACTTACAAATTACAAATATAATAGCTAAGATTGTTTAAATATTTCTTTTCTCTTATAATTTTTAATTTAACATTTATTCTCCATTTACGTTACATTATTTATAATTTTCATTATATTATGCATAAATTAATTTGACATTAAATATTAGAATATTATTTTTATATTATTATTAATTATTTATTCCTTAATTTATCCAATAACTTATCGACATCTAAAGAATTAATCAGATTTATATCCTTTACGACACTTTCGAAGTGGAACAATAAATATTTGACTTTTAGGTTGTGCAGAGCTCGAACCAATTGCATAACCTTGAACTGTGTATGTTAACAAAATGATGTACATTAAAATTACGCAAATTATTAAGAGCTGTTGGTAATAGGTGTGCTAGCGTACACGACGTTAAACAAGCCACGCCTTGCGATTGGCGAACTTCGTAATTTTTTGTATTAGCGCGCCTTTCTGGCACTACTATGTTTTTGTTACTTAGTTGCATTTTGTCTGTTCCCAATCTTTTATAGTCCGTAGCCGTAGCAACACGATGGGAGAAATTGGTTATTTGGTTTCAATATATTGCTGTGTTTAACCCATCAATAATGTGGGGATACAGAATATCTTAGAAGTGTGTGACCATAGTGTTTAAGTTTTCCACAAAGGAGTGCATGTGCGATGGTATGAATGTGTGTGAGATTGTAATGAAGAAGAAAGAAAGCGTTTCCTGTAGATATGTTTTGTTTAGATAGTAAGACTACACCGTCTGGGCTGTCGCATTTGTGCAGCTCCATCGAAATCTCTCGAACGTTCTCGCTCCGGAAATACGGAAAAGATTCATTGTTTATAACGGAGAATTATCGAGAGGTTTCTGGAAAGAATGCCAGGAAGTGATGAAAGACGATGGAGAGGTGGAAGGGCATAAATAGGCATCGGTAGGGACCGGACGGCGCATTCCATATTCGGGCATTTCGTGATAGTTCTTTAGTTTACGCAACAATAGATTATAGATTATTCACCATTCTATCTCTTAAAACAATTATACCAAAATCGGTTAACATCAATGTTAAGCGTTAATGATTAAGTCATTATTATAACCTTTTATATTTTATTCCAAATTATAATAAATTAAATCTTACAATAATAGTCAAACACATGTTGATTATTTCATGAAACATGGTAATGTTTAGTATCAAATATTAAAATTGATTTGTTAAAACAAATATGTTCCGAAACTGACAAAATTAAAAATAATCTGAATCAAATTATATTTTATTTTCTTATTTTTAATTTTAATTTTGAAAATTGTTTTAAATATAAATTATTAAGGAAACACATTTTGTGGTCAAACAAAAGATAAGCGAAGCTTAATAAAGCAATTATTGTCAGAAATATTCTCTTGGCCTAAAAGATCGCAAAATCCAAAACCAATAACTAAAAAATTTAACCGAACTGTGATTCCTGGGCCACTGAAGAAGCGACCCTGTGTATCTCGATGTATTTTCTATCTTCTTTTGAAACATTTTAACGTCTAGAAATCAGTGAACCCCTGGCATGGAAAGAAATTAGAAGGATCTACGTGACTACTACTAGGTCCCGTCCCTGAATTTTACGAACAACCCCATAGTGGGGGTTTTCACGAAAAGCATATAAAAACTGTCTGCGTGCTTAATTTTCAGCTTCAATTACAATTTAGTTCAAGTCTCAATTTTTATATCTAATTTTATTCTAATCCAAAGTCTGTGAGTTTTGTAAATTTTCGACTTCGTTTCTTTTAAATTTTGTATTCTTCGCGTTTACACGAAGATCAAACCTCCGACTTACTGAGTTCATAATTTGTAAGAATAGTTTTGTTATTAAATTGTGTTACTGAATTCTGGAACTGTGAAATGATTCTTCCTGCCCCGAAAACCTCTCTGACACTTCCTAACTCTATATATTTTTAATTTATCAAAATCATCGTTTTATTCAAGATCTAATGTGAATTCTTTACCTCATAAAACAAAGCCACCTTGTTCCTGTTAAACTTGTTGAAAGCAGGATGATCAAAGAAAAAAATTACTACTTAAATTGGTCGTCCAATCAGGACATAACACTATCGTCAACTGAATTACAGCTTTTAAGGGCTTACATACGTCCTGAATTTAAAAAAATCAATTTTCATTTTAATCAGATTGTTCTCTATTAGTCCAGGCAATAAAAGGGCCAAGTGCCAAATTTTTGACCACTTTGCCAGAAACTTGATATAATGGTAATTCGACGACGCTGAATCGAATGGTGCAAATTTTTTTGCAATTGGGCCAGGAGATCTTTGAGAAAAAGGGTAAAAAACGGCCGTATCTTAGAATCTAGGCATTTAATCGA